GTGAACTGACCAGCACACAGAATATGAAGGATATCAAAAACAAGTTTCACACACACACAAGTACGTAAAGGGACATTTAAGAGGGTTTATTCTCCAAATAACTCTAATTTCATGTTGCAGAAAAATGTGTTTAGAAATTGTGCATGGTCTCTTGCTCTTGTTCCAAGTTACCTTCCTGTCCACTGAGCTTTGCCTCTCACAAAAGCAACAAAGCCTTCCAAGAAGACAGTAAAGGCTTATGTCATGCTTGAGCTTTAGTTAGGCTGAAACTTGAAAGTTAAGTTGCACTACATAAATGCAATGTTTAGGTATTATTTTTATTACTATTATTTTGATTTATGTCTTAGTTTTGGTTTGTACTGTTTACCTTTTTTAAAGTAATGTGAAATTGATTTTTTTATTTATTTTTTTATTAATATTTTTTATTTTTTTATTTTATTGATATATTTGTATTTGCATTTTGAATGTAATTTGGCAATTAAATACATTAAATGGGTTTAGTTTTCATGGTTATTAATGTATGCAATTTCAGCAAGAAAAATGTAAATTTTTCTAAAAAGAAAACAAATTAGTTGTTTACTCTAAGAGATTCATCTTATCATCTCTTGTATTGCTCTTTAATAAAGAAAAATTACTTCTTATCCGATTACTCGATTAGAAAATAATCGATAGCTACAGCCCTACAGGGGTTAAAGGAAAAAAAAAATATCCTGAGCCTGAACTTTTTTCTGGGGGTTGGGGGATTGCGGGGGTGGACACATACACAGGGTAATTTGCCCAAAAAAAAAAACAAAAAAAAAACCTTATTTGAAAATGATTTTCCTTGAAACTAACTAGTAACATATCTGCCCTTCCCATTAGCCCTTGACAGGCTCAGACTACAGATTATGGTAGGCTATTTGAAACGGCAATACCAGGAAAGGTTACTCACTATAATGCAAACACATGTAACATTAGGATGCTTTTGATATCAAGTTTTGCTGGTTAGATTTGTCCTTGACAGGGTACAAGATAACCTACAATTTAAAACATGAAATTTCTGAAACTGTTTTGTTCAAAAGAAATAATAGTAAATTAAATACTAGGAAATTAATATAAAATAGGAAATATACAAAGACAGTTTACTACAGAAAACTACAGTTTAGTTCAATTAACAACAACAAAATAAAATGCTCCAAGAACTGGTAACTTAAACAGGGTTCGTACAGATACTGCAAAATGAAATTCCAGGACTTTCAAGGACTTTTCAAGCACTCCTTTTTTGGTTTTCAAGGACTACAATCAGATCTCACTTATTAAAAAATATGACTGTGGCAACTTTAACATTTGAAAGGATACTATGGCAAAGTTATCGCTTTCCTTATTCAAACTGATTTTTATTTTCACGAGTATATGACTGACCTGAAGAATGAAAGCTAGGCTATATCATACACTTGGAAAATTATGAGCTATATCACCGCTTATCAACACTAGGGGTGTGACAATAAACTTAGCTCACGAGATGAGACAAAATGCATATACTTGGTTCAATAGAACGAGACAATATTTTAATACTTTAAGAAATATTTGAATGACAAAATATTTGTCTTTTAATTACAAAAAGTAGAACAATGCAGGTATATTTTGAAATTTTTAACAAATCTAGGGCTTAACTAACCATTATTTTGCTAATCAAGTAATCTACTGATGATTTTGACAAGTATGTTTTAGTAATACAAAAAGAACTAAGTGAAAAATAGGCTTTAATATGACTATTTATATATAAAATAATGATGAGGCAATAATAATTGGCCTCAAATAAAGTATCAAAACCAAGTACATGGTTTTATTGAACAACTGTTAAAGACAATGTAATATGCCTATATTATAACAAATACCTGCAGAGGATTACCGCACAGTTTTCCCATATGAAAGTTAAGCAACCCAAACTCACCGCATATGCAGAGGAAGAGTTTAGCCCCTTTCACACATACAGTCTTCACTGGTAAATTGCCGTTAAGAGATCATGTGTGAACAGGACCTTTTCAAAACTACAGGTAAATTTGTTCTGCCAATCATATCATTCTTACGGAGATGACGTGATTACTCTGAGCTGTTTACAAAGCTCCGTTAATTATATAGAAAATAGCTTTTCTATATAAATATGGCTCTAGATGGAAATCTTTGACCATTGCACCTCACAGCTTTTTAGAATGTGGATACTATTATGCACGTCTCATGTTTACAGGACCAAAAATGTCTGATTGGCTTAATCAAATTAAATTGTTGAGTTTTGTAAGGAATTCTGAGTGCACATTCCCCAGAGGCCTAATGTTAACAGAATATCTGTGGACAGCCAAACACTGGGATTGTTTATTACCCTTTTTCTAAATGAAAAATGTTTAATCTATACACTTTGGGATCCCATTAAGGTTACATTTACTCACGTCTTCAACCTGAACGATGACTTGTAATCTGCAGGATTTTTTTCCAGATAATGTAGCAGTTACATCATTTAAATTACTAAAATGTAAAGAGGCCAACTGCAAAGTAATTGTGTCTTGATAAGGACTGGAATATATACACAAAAAAGCAAACAGTACCTTCTAACAACCCAGCAATAGATACAGCCCAAGCTATCATGTGGGTATTTAAACATGTAACATGCCTTTGATGACAAATTACATGCATCATTTGGCGACTAGGGACCATAACAGTAAATCTGACCAGTTAAATGAGCTTAAGCATTCCAATGTGTTCAACAGCCATGATTGGATCAGTGGCAAAGCATCGCTGCCATTCATGTCTGGAACATACACATTTTGTGCAGCGCATGTGTGTGTGTTCGCGTGTGTAAGACACTGCAAGCACTGCTGCATGACAGAGGCACGCAGGTTGCCAGGCAGCAGAGGGAAGAGATATGTGCTTTCACATTTTCTCATTGAAACACAATGACGTGCCAGACATCACACACTCACGCAGGTGACTGCCACAGTGTAATGCAGAACAATGCTCATATTTCACGCAACAAAACAAATGACTTTACTCTGGCCTTACGAGACGGTCTGTCAACCAGTGCCTTTCAGACTCCATGACGTACTAACAAAAAAATAACGCACCTCTGTTTTGTTAATGCACCTAGCTTCTCAATCTTGGCCATGATTAAATAGTCCATTCAGTCTTTTGAGTGGAAGGACATTTTACTTGTTATGAATCAGATTAATGCAGTTGCAAATGATGCACAATACATTGTTTTATACAAAGCAAATCAAGCAACTTCTGTCAACATCGAAAACTAAGTTTAAGCATGTATCATTTGCTTTACCGAGAGCAAGTTATTCACTGCAGTGATTGACACGCAGCATTTTCTTGTTGCGGAGTTCCAGACCTACCAACAAGTGCAGACGTCGCCTCTTGGTTCTCCTTAGGGTACCCATGATCCGGCGACCCATCTTTTTAGCATACCACACCGAGTTGAGCATTGTGGTCTGAGGCTGGAGTGTGCGTGTGTGGGGTTCACGCTTCAGTGAAATATAACTCGTTTCCTGACTCTGACCTGCCCCCCTCCACCTCTTCTTAGCCAGGCATCTCAAAGCCAGTTTCTGCACATAGTGCGTGCCGCTGATGAAAACATATGGTGCAGGTAGCTACAAAGAGCAGAACGCAGGACAAGAGGGGAAAAAAACAGGCTGCCTGGCGTACACAAACTGCAGCAGAAATAAAGCGCTTCGCAATCTGTGCAGCCCCCTGTAATGCTACTCGTTTCACCTTCTCTCTCTCTCTCTCACTGCTGTGGCTGATGCAGTTCCTGGCACGCTGATGCGATCGCGGCTGTGCAGTGGTGGGATGCGAGCTCAGTGCAGACGGCTGCAGGTGCCTGCGTTCGTCTCTTCCAGCTCAAAATGAGTCAGCAGGAAGCTGAGAGAGTGAGACTGGGTGCTTGACTTGGCTAGCACTGACTGCGCTCCACTCTGATTGCCTGAAAGAAATTAGTCCAGAGGCTTGCGATGCAGACGTTACTCCAATGCTGTGCCTCTCTGACAAACGGCTGCAGTGTCCATTTGCTACATTGTGATAAAAGAGAAGACGATGTTTTCCTCACGTTGTCTTGGAGATGAGGCAGGGTAACATCGTTCCCTGTGCCAGTGGAAATTCCTGGGTTGTAGGGGACAGTGCTCTGGCACCTTGACCTCTTCGCATTCGTTGTGGTCTCCTGATGCTTTCTTGAATGTGCGATCAAGCCATTCAACTTTGCCACATGGGGAGATATATCAGGTCTGACGTCACTGACGGGAAATGGGAGGCAGCTCAAGGCTCATGATTTGTATGAGAAAAGTGACTGAAGGACACAGCCTCACCTCAAACCCATACCAACACCGCCTCATACTTAAGATGCTTGTGGCAAAAAAATGCAAACTGTTTTCAGGCCTGAATAAGCACATCCACCTCATAAATCCCAAGACCAGAAAAGTCATTCAGAAAAGGAGTCAACGAGGAATTTGCTATTCATCTTATATAATGGGACAAGATCCTGAAGCTCGAAAAAACATTGGCCATACGCTGTGGAAGCAATGGTGCTTCCATGTATGACGGCATGCACCAACAGATAACAAATGCAACAGCAAAGCTATCGCTGCAACATATGAAGCCAAACAACTGTTGCATTTAAAAACACAAGTCTATCATTTAACTAGAACCCACGTGTGTAGATTCTAGCAGGCTCATGCACTTATCAAAATGAAATTTTGCATAAATACAAATAGGAAGGACAATGAGAGGTACAATGCAAGAGTTGTACTGTACTGTACCCTCTAGTGACAGCATTAAGTCTGATCAAATGCATTCAAATCATCATGAAACGATGAAAAGCTGCATCGACCAGTCACACTGATCACATTGAGATGATCGACACTAGACCGCACATGACTGACAGCCATATGACAAACACAGAATTGGCAAACTGCAGGTACTACATCAGAAGCACATAAAGATGCTTGCCAAGTCAGACGAGTGACTGTTACCTGGACGGTCACAGGACTTTGAGGGTACGGGTTGGAGAGAGGAGTAGTAGGAGTCGGAGGACTCTCCTCGTTCACTACAGTGGATGGCCCATCGAAGATGCATTCCAGCGACTCAACCTACAGAGGGGGCATGAACTCACTGTATTACAATACAAGCTTGACTTGAAAGTGCCAACAATTACATCATCACGAGAAGATAAAAGAGACAGACAATAGAACAAATGGGAAGCAAGATCTAGAGCTAGTGAAATGTTCACCTTGACAGAATTTTGGGGCATTATATGCATGTTTAACAGCCTATGATACCCAAAAATGCGGTCCCTAGACCAGGCAAGCTTACTAGGTTTTGAGACAAAGCCAAAGAGTCACCAAAACAGAAAGTGGTATGATAAGGATGCTTAAGTTGATGAAACACAGACCATATATACAGTGGGTACGGAAAGTATTCAGACCCCCTTAAATTTTTCACTCTTTGTTATATTGCAGCCATTTGCTAAAATCATTTAAGTTAATTTTTTTTCCTCATTAATGTACACACAGCACCCCATATTGACAGAAAAACACAGAATTGTTGACATTTATGCAGATTTATTAAAAAAGAAAAACTGAAATAACACATGGTCCTAAGTATTCAGTTCTGTCAATATGCGGTGCTGTGTGTACATTAATGAGGAAAAAAAATTAACTGAAATGATTTTAGCAAATGGCTGCAATATAACAAAGAGTGAAAAATTTAAGGGGGTCTGAATACTTTCCGTACCCACTGTACATATAATCACCAGGATGGAAACATTAATCCCAAATGGCAACTATGAGGACCACGAAGACAAAAGTATACTTTAAACTCAACGCAAAATACATTAATTTATGAAAAGACTCTTGGAACAGAATGTCAGCCTATAACCTAAATGGACTAGGGGATGTCACGATTTGTCGATTTTATTTAACTATTCGATTTTTTAAAATCTTCGACTTCATTTTGCTCGTGTCGACTAACCATTAAAATACCAGAAGTGGCGCATTACACGAACGAGAATCCATAAAACTAATTATTAGACTGTTTCCCAAGGCTGCATATATTAAACCCATTTAAAATAATTAAGCATAATTGTGAATTCACAAACGCTACAATTTAATTAAATAATTATATTTGATTATTCTAATAGTTCTAATACAGTATATTAGCTTTAATTATTTACATGCGTGTAGGTTAAGTACATGCGTCACACAGCGGCTCCGTTCACAGTAGTTCCACAGGAACTGTTATCATTTACATATGTGGAGGGTCTCAAACTCCATCTCTGCATGTTGTTGTGAGTTTAGGTTTATTATAACGTTCATCTGGGAACGCAACGTGCGCCATTTCGTCAGATTTGTAAGGTAAATCATTTATAAATCTACGCAAACTCAGGAAGATACATCGCGATTTCAAAATAAAAGCTCAAACACTCACTCAGAGTTTACACGTTTTGATGTCCACATATTCTTTTAATTAAAGTGGCTATAGCATTTCTGTCCAAAAGAAATGGCCAAATATTAAAGATTAAGTGGACATTTGAATTAAATGGTGCTTGGTCAATATTAAGTATTAGATCGCACAGCAATGTGTAAAAACAATCTTCGGGCCGTTGGTGCCTTCTGCAGGTCTTTGTTGTAATGCGTAATGTACATTAGCTCTATTGTTTATAATACATTATGTATTTTAACAGTTTTGTTCAATAAAATTCAATAAAAATCGTTAGTGGCAGCCCTAAAATGGACCATGCCAAAATCACTCCCACCTCCATGAAAACCATTAAGAACGGTTCGGAACAGTTCACAAACAAAATAAGAAATAAATAATCTGGTTCCCCACTTCAAAATATATCACTTAAAATATCTTATTTTATGTTCAACAAAAGTAAGAAATTCATACAAGTCTGGAACAACTTGTGGATAACTAAATGATGACAATTTTCATTTTTGGGGGTGAACTGTCCATTTAATGCATGAACACATAGCAAAGGTATTTATATTGATACATCATGACCACTAGAAACAGCATGTACAATTGCAATGACTATTACAGAACACAAGGTGGCAATAGAATGTACCACAGATGAACTAACCTCTAAATGTTTTCCTCACAAAGTATCCTTATCAAATTGTTATATATGTGTTTATATTGTTATAGGTGTTTATATCACCCTGCAGCCACACTGAAGCTAAGTAGGGTTGAGCCTGGTCAGTACCTGGATGGGAGACCTACTGGGAAAACTAGGTTGCTGTTGGAAGAGGTGTTAGTGAGGCTAGAAGGGGGTGCTCACCCTGTGGTCTGTGTGGGTCCTAACACCCCAGTGTAGTGACGGGGACACTATACTGACAAAAAGCACCGTCTTTCGCATGAGATGTTAAACCGAGGTCCTGACTCTCTGTGGTCATTAAAAATCCCAGGATGTCCTTCGAAAAAGAGTAGGGGTGTAACCCCGGCATCCTGGCCAAATTCGCCCATTGGCCTCTGATCATCATGGCCTCCTAACCATCCCCATATCTGCTGATTGGCTTCATCACTCCACTCTGATGTCTCCTCTCCACCAATAAGCTGGTGTGTGGTGGGCGTTCTGGTGCAATATGGCTGCCGTCGCATCATCCAGGTGGATGCTGCACACTGGTGGTGGTTGAGGAGATTCCCCCCTTCTATGTACAGCGCTTTGAGAGCCAAGAAAAGCACTATATAAATATAAGGAATTATTATTATTATTATTATTATTATAAGATCAATTACAGGGGCAATAATACCTAAGAGTGTCCACAATATATAAACAAAAATATATTTTTTAAAAAATTCAAAATGAGTGCCAATATTTAGAAATGTACTTTGTATTTCAAATGGTTTTGAAAAACTTTTATACCATTTTTGTACCTTTACTGCACCTTAATATAGTTTAAAAATATATATTTTTACCACGATCATGAATTATTAATTATTTACAAATCGGGAAATGCATCACATGACATTTTACAACTTGAACTAATCTAAAATTATTATATTTAAAGAACCTTACATACCTTAACACAGTCATAAGGGGTGGCAATGGTCTACGATATATTTTATTGTTTTATGTTTTTTTCCTTCTGCATATTTCTCCATTTTGGTTGAATCGCATGGCTTTGATTTTGTGGACGAAAGTTTTTAGAATATTAATAAGCAGTAAAGCAGTTTTGTTTAGTTTTTTTCTCCAAATAATAAGGACTACGGAAAACTATTTAATAAGCTTTTTAAAAATTCTTGTAATCAATTAATTTAAATGATTATTATAATGATTAATCAACTAACTCAATTATTTCACAGACTAACCAGTAGGTTTTGATACATTTTTCAGCTTTTGCAATTCGTTAAAATATTGAGCTATACATATTCTATATCATATATATGTATAGCTGCCTTATAGCAGAACATTAAGTTGTAATTCTAACTAAAAGTGACTCTAGGCGCGTTTCCATTACCCTTCAAATTGCGCAAATTGAAATTGCGAATTGAAAATATGCCTAATGGAAACACGTCAATTTCACAAAAACGGCCATATATCGCAAAAAAGTTTTTACGCTCGCATGAGGTGGTTTTTCAGGCAATGCGAAAAAGGATTAATTCGCAAAACTGCAATGGAAACGGCTTTTTCGCATTTACAGGTCACATGGCGCATGTAAAACGTCATATGATCATTCTTCAATGTACTATAACATCCAAGAAACACTTCATAAGTGGCCGCGCTCCAGTATAAGGGGCTTTCCCTACTATTAATACTTAGACTATTTACATTGCACATGTCTGCGGTGCAGTGTGGCACTCTGATACGGTCACTGAAGTTGATTACGGCCACTCAATGCTTGTGTTTATGTTTTTATACAGTCTATGGTTTATTCCAGCCGCACTACGCACGTTTCTGAAGCGGCACTCTTTGCTGCTAAGATACACGCATAAGCCTCCTTTAAATAAATATAGCCAAAATCCGTCAAAATCCCACCAAAATCTGTTGCCATGACTTATCGCAAAAGGCAAAAGGTTATGTTTTAGCCGCATAACATTGGTTAATAGAAACGCCGTCATTTCCCAATACTTTTTTATCGACATTCAGAAAATATTGCCAAAGTTTTGCGCAAATCTGTAATGGAAACGCGCCTACTGACACTGTTTTTCATGTTTAATACTGTAAAGCTGCTTGTCTATTGCATGAAGTAAAGCAATCTATTGCATAAAGTGTTACAAAAAAAACATGATGTGACTTTACTGGATTGACGATTGCAGAACTGGCGCAAACATCCACATCACTATGATCCAATGCTTTCTTAACTACTGTTTTCCCACACTAGAGCTGCATGATTAATCGTTAAAAGATTGCGATCTAAATTCAAACACCCCTGAGATCTAATTTCTAAATGACAACGATTCTCCCGTGTCTATTAAACCTTTGAAAAATTCTTACCGGAAATCAAATCTGTGTACACACTGCCGCTGACATAGAGAGCAGACATTTACCATGTTTGGGTAAGAAACAGCTTCACAAACATTCTTTTCAACTATAAATGATTATTTCTGTCTTACAGTCATTCATATTGTCACAGAAATACTGGGATGAATGTTTATAGTTCAGATATAAACATTAATGTCTATGGTAGCGATCAAAATAGAGCAATTGCCCTTTTGAAAGTAACTGGTGCTTCAAATAATGTTTGTGTTGATTGCCTTGTTTCACCACTAGTTCGCGAAAAGTAACTGTTAAAGGGGTCATATGATGCGATTTTAAGTTTTCCTTTCTCTTTGGAGTGTTACAAGCTGTTCATGAATAGATAAGATCCCTAAAGTTGCAAAGGTTAAAGTCTCAAACCCAAAGAGATCGTTTATAGTTCAGATATAAACATTAATGTCTATGGTAGCGATCAAAATAGAGCAATTGCCCTTTTGAAAGTAACTGGTGCTTCAAATAATGTTTGTGTTGATTGCCTTGTTTCACCACTAGTTGGCGAAAAGTAACTGTTAAAGGGGTCATATGATGCGATTTTAAGTTTTCCTTTCTCTTTGGAGTGTTACAAGCTGTTCATGAATAGATAAGATCCCTAAAGTTGCAAAGGTTAAAGTCTCAAACCCAAAGAGATATTCTTTATAAAAGTTAAGACTCGTCCACGCCCTCCTAAAACGCCTCGTTTAAACACATGTCCCACATATCTACGTCCCTGTGTGGGAAGATTTGCATAACACTGGTCAAATGTTCATGCAAAGAAAGAAGGCGTAACTTTGATTCTCGCTGTAGCGTTGTTGCTGCCGCCGCCATGTCGTGGAGACGCTGTGTGTTTCGTTGTGAAAGCGAAACTACTTTGTTTGGTCTTCCATAAGAGGACACAACTAGAAATCAGTGTTAAAGTTGTATTTACAACACTGTTCCAGAACAGTTCAAATAAAATATTCAGATGCGTGCAGCGCACTTTACGGAGGACGAGGACTGTTTCCTGGGAGAGTAGCCTACAATGCCGGTGTTCTGACAAATAATGCTGACTCACAGCCTGTAAGTACGTTTTCATATTTAAAGGACTTGCCACTGATGATTCAAATGTGAGTTTTGAGCAGTGTAGAGCAGCGCTTTTTGTTTGTTGTTTCTCCAAACACAAATGCAGACATGGTTTTATGTTTACGCGGCGCGATGCAACGCGTAAAAATACAGGATAAGTCATTATAATCAGTAATTATGTCCCCACTGGATGCAACAAATACCTCGTTTGTCACGGGTTTTATTGGTTTTGTTTTGTCGCGTCAGGACACGGCATCACAGTATGGTAAGGGGCGTAACATTTCTGTCACACGCTTGAGGTATTCGGCCAATCACAACGCACTGGATTGCTGGCCAATCAGAGCACACCTCACTTTTAAGAACGATGAGCTTTGTAAAAATCGATGCGTTTCAGAAAGGCGGCGCATAGATGAGAAACAATAATGTACAGTATGTGGAAAATAATGTGTTTTTTTTTTACCTTAAACCGCATAAACACATTTCATTACACCAAATACACAAAATAATATTATTTTTTAGCAACGTCATATGACCCCTTTACAAAAAATTTATTTATCATTGAATGAATAATTCATTCAAGAGATTCGTTCAAAAAAGCTGATTCATCCAGTAATGAAACAAGGGAAGTATTTACGAGTGAGTCATTGAATCATTAATTCAAACCACTTTTTCATAATTTTAATACTAAAAATTGGTGTATTAAAACCCTTTAACTGTCACCCGTCCCCTCTGTGGGACGCATAAGTTTACTTCACTATATTACAATTAAATCCTAATCTAATAATGACAAACTATATATCGTTGGAAAGGTCTAAGACTCCTAAATAGATATTTTACCAATGTTTTTGTAAAAAATTATGTAGGAAAAGTAATAGATTAATTTATGACAAGAGTGCACCTCAAAAAATCTACATCATAACAGGAGTTCTGACCTTTGTAGCAAAAAGTCTTATTTGTTGCCTTTTCTCGATCACACTTTAGAAATCATCAGAAATTATTTATCAATTGAAAACTTTAAATCTCAAAATTCATCCTTTGAAACCCATTTTAAAATCAAACATTGCATTACCATGAAAATGGTACATCAATATCATGTTACAAAATGTTTTCGTTCATGAATTATAAAAATTTAAGTTTGGATCGTGCACTTTCACGTCTATGTTCAAAAATGTGAGTGACAGTTAAAGGGTTAAATATATTTTGAATACATATTAAAATGTTTAATAATTCATTCAAATTAAACACTTTTAAATAGACTGCAGCAATAATATTTTGTCACACATTATTTTGTTTAGTTCAGAATCGTAGGAGACGTGATCTCTATTTGAGACAAAAAAAAATCATAATTCTCAATTTATCCAGAATCGTGCAGCTCTATCCCATGCTGTCATTTTTGTTGTGTGTTTATTTTGTTATTGAGAGGAAAGTGTGAAGCATATATTTACACATTTGTCTAAACGCCATTCTCAGCATCGGGATGTTCACCAACAGTAAACAGCTGCTTGATTATATTAAAGAACGAAAAAGAACTTCACCATGAGTATATATGGGGACCTGTACACATGACAGCATTTTTTCTTTATTTGTAGTTCTGTAAAAATGTTCCACACTCTGCTGGTTCAGATTTGTTTGCAATTCTTATAAGCATGTCTTCAATTGGATTGCAGCTGGGTGGCCTGAATTACAGTTTTGTGCTACAGCGCCACACTGGTCAAACTGCATTATTGCAGGCCCTTACATTGGGTCATATGAGATCTATCAACTATTCAACAACAAAAATATTTGTCAACAACTTTTTTTTTTATTGTCGACTAATCATTTTAGTCCTATTCAGTAGATACATTCACCACAATGTTCGCAGTGGTTACAAAATTAATAGACAGTACCGGGGTAGGAGCACCATTTAAAGCAGTGGTTCTCAACCAATGGGCCAGGGCTAACTATGAGGCCTAAACAAATTTTCCAAACAAACAAATCCAAAAAACAAAGGGAGCCACAGGATAATTTCAAATATGCAAATGAATAAGTTAATAAGTTGCTATTAATATATTTAAATAATATTAACTAAATATTCTCTCATATTTATTTTTATTTTCTCATATTGTCTTTTGATTTTATCTTAATTTTTTATTGAAGAACATAGAGTTCTGGAAAATAGAACAGAAATTCTTGAATCGCTAAGTCAATCATGGTTAATGCAATATATTAAATTAATCACTTTAATTAATTGAATATATGAATAAAAAGTTTGAATACAAGCAGCTTTTCATGATTACTGCAGAAATACCAGAAATATCCGCATATACAGTGGGGCCTCATACGGGGGGATGGGTTGGGTGCTGTTTAGAGGGTCTCTGAGGAGATGCGGAGGTGACTTACAGATGGGCCATAACTGTATTGCAAGGGTGTGTCTGAGATGGATGGTAGGTTGTGAAGGTGCTGAGGGAATGAAACGGTGCCAGTTTAAGTGTGAGCAGTAAAGGTTATGAGAAGTGGCACGTGTTATTTCTCATCTGTGGTTTGTTGTGTGCATGCTTCTGGCTTAGGCTCTGATCAGGACTGAGGGGGAGCTGTGGGATCATAAATCTAAAGGCAGAAGAGTGCACTGGAGCACAACAGGAGCAGGACGAGTGCTTGTAAATGTTCACAAATACATAACTACTCGCAGCAAATTCATAGTCTCTGGACACAGTCACCCTGCTGCCTTCCACTCAGCACACAGAAACGGTGTTTCACCTTGCATGTTTCTTAATCACTGTAACGTGTCAATAACTTTAAGAACTACCGCAAAGTTAAAGAAATTGAAAACCTTGAAAATCAATGCGAATCATTAGAAGATTTGCAATTAGATATGAATTGCAATTCATGTACATCAATTTTTTTTCTCCCCCATTTTATTTACTCACCCATATACTGTGCAAAAACTTTCAATGAACAACAAACAACATTTCAGTCTTTTTCTGATATCAGAAGAGCTGGAATATAGCGCTCAGGTAATATGGACCCCCTTTTTTTTTTTTTTTTTTTTTTTTTTTTTTTTTTTTTTTCGCCCCACACCCAGAAATAAATTTTTTAAGAGCACACACACAAAAACAATCACAACTGCTGTCATTTTTGGGAACGCAAACCTGTTAGCCAGTTCTGGGAGGTAATTATACCAAATCATTTTGATGGCAGACTTTGGCTCAGGCATTTCAGACTGACTAAAATCAAATTTAAGATGGTCTTTTTCTGATATGAGAAGAGCTTGAATATAGCCCTCAGGTTATATTGGCCCCCTTTTTTTTTTTTTTTTTGCTTTTTTTCTTCATTTTGTAGCTCGACAACCTGAGAATTAAGTTCTAAGTCATTCATACAGGTTTGCAATGACATTAGGGAGAGTAAATGCTATTAACTAATAGTATACATTTCAAAGCCGCTCATCTAAAAGCATTAAATACATGTCCCATATTTCATGTATAACTCTAATAAACATTAAGTCTTTGAAAGAAGTAAGGGCAGCAATGTATGTCTTTGTATCCACTATGCCAGTCTTTCATATTGATCGATGTCCATTCAGCAATTCAACAGATTATAAATCAGCCTGTGGGTCCTGCAAACCCCTCTAAGTTATAAAGCACTCTGCACACTAATAATGAGATTTCCATTGAACCAAGTGCATTGGTGGATTAAGAGCCTATCATTCTATTGATAGAATTACATTTTTTTATCCTGACCTAGTAGTATGCTTAAAACAAAATTATTCATTTTGATTGTATGTGGTAAAAAAAAACAACAAACAAATTGACCATACAATAGCTATTCTTATGGCTGCCTGATTGTTTTCTTGAAATATTCCAAGGAGGGGAAACCATTCTAAAACCTAAAGGGTGTGTTTGTGTGTTGTGTATGTAAAGAGTGATGCACACACAGTTATAACAAACCACATGGTAGAATTTGGACAACAAGGTGATCGACAACACAGCAAATGTTAAAATATGTGAACTGATCAGGAAGTCTAGATTCCAAGACCAGGACCTACCTTCATTGGGGAGATATGTGCATGTGCCACATAACCGTGGACGTTCTCAATCTGGGAGATGTTCTTCTCAGCCACTTGAACCAGCTCTGGCCCAGGAGCCTCATCAGTGAACTGGGGCGAGCTCTGCTCCTGTGGAGATCCTGTGTCTTCATCATGGTGTCTGTACTTCTGCAGAGAACAACAGAGACCAGTCAGACAAGATGAGATGAATACCTTGTTGTAAGGAGATTTGAGACCTTTTGAGGTCTTATTTTCCCTTTGACACCTGCTTGGTTTGTACTGATGGTTTCTGCTTGGTTTGAACTGCAGTCACAAAAACCCTATATTCCAAAACCCAATAAGAATCCTACAGAGGCAGAATTTTAAGCCACATGTCAGATGTGAAAGTTGTTCCAAAAGGTAGGTTACTTAATTACGCTGCTTGTCAGAGAAGGCAATCCCAATATGCATTGACAAAAAAATAATTCCAAAATGTTAAGAGAAACATTCTAAGCTTATTTCATTCAATACCCAGAAGGTACAATAAATAAAAATAGTTAAAAAATAGTTTGGGGATTGTTAGGGTGCTGCCTTAGAAGTCTGCAAAGTAGGCAGCAAGGCATCTCACTAAGTTTTGGAACACAGCTTAGATATCTGAGACATGTCATATAGACAATCATAAACATGAAATTTGGAAGACGTTAAAGACTGGAGGTTTATGTTTTAGTTCATTGTAGTAACCAGTAGTCAGGATTGATTGGGGGATGGCAGATACTTTAATACTAAAATGTATGGAAAGCTTTGACTGAAAGAAGAGATGCATTGAAGTGTTTGGTTAAAGGACTGTAAGGAAAGTGTCAGCTCATGTTCAGCAGACACAAATACTTATGTCCTTATCTGTAAACCTGGATATGACCTGAAAGTGAACATACTAAAAACACGAATAAGATTTGAGAACTGCAGTGAAGAAGAGACTTTAAGGGTAATAAGGACTTGCATTCAGAAGACTTAGGATAACCAGGACGACTTAGACCCAATAATGAGCCTAATATAAAGTTGTATAGACATTTTAGAGCCTGAAACATCCTGATGCTGTATGATTTCTTTGCAAGGGAAAAAGCAGCATCAGCATTCTTCAAAGGTGTTCCAAAAAGGTCACTTAATATTAAGCATCATCACTGTGTCTGGATAGAATGGTTTGGGGAAAAGCAAAATCATCCAATTTTGAAGCAATATAAGGAAGTAAATAATTTATACTCCCTCATTTGAAATTAAACATTACACAATATACTTTTTGAAGTATCATATATATTGTAACCAACTATACTTATCCACATTTAAATTCTAGAAACAGAAAGCTCTCAAACCATACATACCCTTGCAATACAGTAGTGCTTTCACATGATAATGAATGGGTTTCCCTTCCTCTAAAATAAACAGTGGTACATGCTTACACAAAAAGGTAGCTGATGAGCGGTTTCCACACAGGCGGAGGATGGCCACAGTTGCTATGGCAACAGGTTTATCAGCTACAGACTACTTCTTAATATAGGTAAGCCAGTGATTCAAGCAGCCTTATTTAAAGCTAACACAAGGCTCAATTGTACTGGTTTACCCACTTAGATTTATGCATTTGCATAAAAAAAGTAATTAGGATTGACACTGAAAAGTGTTTGGCTTTCTTCCCATTATGCAAGTATAAGAGATATTGTTTATATCATCCACAATATGTTTTGGAAAATGTAATAATGGGCTTTGATGTCGACCTAGATAATCATCTTAACTCTCACTCCACATAATCATCTGTCCATCAGACAGCTACCATCATATTCTTAAACAATGTCCTCTGCTATCACTTATCTGTGCACATACATTACTTCCTCCCTCATGGTCAAAGACTCAATCCCAAATAAAGACATTATGTCAAGAAATGAAATGTGTTGTCCATTTATTAGAGATTTTAACTGAGATGAACATAGGCCAGAGAGAGTATCCAGAAATACACAATGTATAACAACAGATTTTCAAACCAGAGTTCAGGGACCCCCATGGGACCACAAGAGGGCGTTGTGGGTTCCATATAATTTTGGGATATTTTAAAGCCTTAAATTTGGATTATTATTTTTTTTCACATATTTATGGAACATTATTTCACATCTTTATGTTATCATGTTTTGAGTATACATTATTTTCTACACATAAAATACCTAGCTGTCTTTATATTTTAGGAAGGGGGTTCCTGGTATCAAAATGTTTGAAAGGACGTAATTGTGCTTGTTTTGTTAAAAGTACTTTCAAGATTACAGTATGCATGTACATAAATTCCAGAAAATTTTAATATTTACATGAAATACATGAATATTTACATTTGAGCTTAACTGTAAGTTACTTTATAATTTTGCAGCAACATTTAGGATGGAATTTTCTAAACAGTTTTTCCAAACACACTGCTCAAACACCTGCTGTGTTTTGTTGAACTGACAGTAAGCAATCCAATTACACAAAAAAGCACTAGGTGTGTTCAACTAGAAGCGGCGCGACGCAAACAGTGTTGCCAGATTGGGCGGTTTTGAATTTGATTGTGAGGGTAAAAATTGGCTTGGGCGGGTAGACAAAATTTGGGCTGGTTTGGGGTTAGTTTGGCGGTTTTCAAACATATAAATTGTACAGGCTAATTGGTTAACATACAAGCCCAAGTATGCATATACTGCATCCAATCAGTCATCACGAGGTTATAAACACACACACACACTGCAAAGATGACTGGTGCTGATGTTGACATCGTGGCCACACTTTTAGCCAATCACTAGGGATCAGCAGACATACGTGATGATTCATGAGTGATGGGTTTTTAGTGTGATAACGGATCTGATTTTGAATGTATAACTGTATGAGTGATCATAAAGCCTAAATATAAGTTACATGGTAAAGAGTGGGAGAGTGTTTTAACTCTCAAAACGTGAATTACACCTGTTGAGGGAGAGATGACACGAATCTCTAATATCACTGCAACTCCGAAATCAGAGCACAGTTAAAATATTTAAAGGGGTCATATGATGTTGCTAAAAAGAATATTATTTTGTGTATTTGGTGTAATGAAATGTGTTTGTGCGGTTTAAGGTTCAAAAAACACATTATTTTCCACATACTGTACATTATTGTTTCTCCTCTATGCCCCGCCGTTCTGAAACACATCGATTTTTACAAAGCTCATCGGTCTGAAAAGCGAGGTGTGCTGTGATTGGCCAGCTATCCAGTGCGTTGTGATTGGCCGAATACCTCAAGCATGTGACGGAAATGTTACGCCTCTTACTATACTGTGATGCCCTGTCAGGCCGGCGCGAAGAGACAAAAACATTAAAACCCATTATAAACGTGGCATTTGTTGCATCCAGTGGGGACATAATTACGGATTATAATGACTTATACTGTCTTTTTACGCGTTACGCATAAGTCCTCCATAAAATGCGTTGCTCACATCTGAATATTTGGGCTAAACTGTTCTGGAACAGTGTTGTAAATACAACTTAACCACTGATTTCTAGTCGTGTCCTCTTTTGGAAGGCCAAACAAAAGTAGTTTCGCTTTCACAACGAAACACAGCGTCACACACGGCGGGCTTGAGTGAGCGGAGGTCGGTGGCTAGAGTGAGGAATGGCGGGCGGGCTTGAGAACGGCGGGCTTGCAGCAACCACATGTGACGACCCTGGGCTGTACTCCACTTCGTCCACGGTGAAAGCCGATCCGGCGATCCACAGCACGAAGTTGATGTATTTCCTCAGCGACCAGCACGGATCAGCTTTAGGCACGACTGAGCAGATATCGTCCTCTTTTGGAAGGCCAAACAAAGTAGTTTCGCTTTCACAATGAAACACACAGCATCTTCACGACATGGCGGCAGCAACAATACTACAGCGAGAATAAAAGTTACGCCTTCTTTCTTTGAGTGAACATTTGGGCAGCGTTATGCAAATCTTCCCACATAGTGATGTAGATATGTGGGGGTGTGTTAGAATGAGCCATTTTAGGTAGGCGTGGTTGACTCTTAACTTTTATAAAGAATATCTCTTTGGATTTGAGACTTTAGTCTTTGCAACTTTACAGATCTTCTTTATGCACCAAGAGCTTGTAACACTTCAAAGAGAAAGGAAAAATTGAAATCGCATCATATGACCCCTTTAATTTAATCAAGATCCTGTCTTTTATCTTTTAAACAGTCCAGATTGGTATATCCTTGAAAGCTGCTGGACTTGTTTGTTTTGACTGTGCAAAGTTTGGTAATGCTCTACAATATGAACTTCACGAAAAACTTCCTCTAGTTCTATGTGAAATTATAGAGCGATACGAAGGTAAGCGCATTATTGTTGTTGTAAATTTTTTTTTTATTGTCGGATCATCATACAGTATGCATCAATGAATGACACAGTTTTGACTGTCATGTGTGTGTGTGCATAAACGAGTGTGTTTTTGTTATAAAATGAAGGCGATCCTTGTCACACTGGCGTTTCAAGCCAGCTTTCCACTATCTCCAACAAACGACAGACCGGAAGTCATTCATTTCCAATGGAGAGTAGCGCGGGAGCTGTGTGGAGTTCCGATCATATGCAGATGTCCGTTCATACTACACGACCAGGCACGTGCACACATAGACATCAAAGGGGGCTTGAGCAGCTGCCCTTTTTCTTCCTCGCGACAAAGTGCCCTTTTTTCTAGGGAGCTTCTTTTTTCTTTTCTTTTTTTTTAAATAAATGAATGTGTATATATGTGTGCGTGTGTGTTTCTGTTTGCACACAGCTTTCCCTGTCAAACAAATAAAAAATCTAAATATCAGGTCGGGTCGGGAAATGTTGAGACTCTGTCGAGTTCCGATGCCTTTCTCCCCTCCGCGTCTCCGCAGCACAGCAGTGTAGCACACATTGACCGGCACATCACATACAGACAGAGAGCCGCAGAAGTGCAGCCCTCCCTCCATCCCTCCCTCCCTTTCCAGTTGTGTTCGTCTTGGTGTGGAAGTGAGTGGTGATGAACAAAAGACTAAGCTACCTGTGCCTCGAATTTACAGCTAATTATCCAAAAGACAAAAGGCAATTATAGTTAATTTGTCTTGCTAACATCCATGGCTCATGAGAGAGCTACCATGCAAGTTAGCTAAAGTTTAGCTAAGGCAATAGGAAATCTAGTTAGGTTAG